TTATAGCCCTAACTCTTTCTCAATGATTCATAAATGTGTTATATACCCTATACTTAGCTTATGCATACCAATTTTATGTCAGATGTGATATATAAATGTGTTTATTGAGCAAAATGGTTGCATCTTATCCCTAATTTCACTGCTATTTTGACGAATAAGAGTGTGTAAAAATCATGTTTTAAGCGGGTTTTGGCACTTCCATAATATTCTGTCAGTGTGTCAATGTGTATTTCAAACCTGTGAGCTATAACCAGTTTGGGACGGGCTTTACAATGGTATGAAGAATATAACATAAAAAATATATTCTAGGCTTGGAGGAAAATGTATTACACTGTATAATCACACCGGAATAGCCTGACAACGGTGAAGTCAGATACCGTTGTCACAAATGGCGGACATAACCGTCGCTTCAACTCTTTAATCACTTGGTCCTCATTTCATGGGATTTTATTGTCGCTAATTCTGTGCATGTATTAAGCTCTTGTCATGATGTATCATATGAAATCCCAATTTCTATCAAATTGGGTCGTGAATCGCCACATGTATAGCGTCTTCGATATCGTCAATGACAACAGAATCTGGATTTGAAGTTATTTGCAAAGACAACAGCATATGGTAATACAATGCCCGTTGTCCCGTATCTCATTTTGATTGGTTAAGTTAAAGACTTTATTTAGATGTTAAACATCAATAACTGTACAGAGAGTATAAAGACACTTTGAGTGATTGCTGTTCCAAAAGAAATTTAGTCTAGGTGCTCTATTATACATATAGTTCTTGAAAATCTTGTGATGTGACAACGGTATCTGACTTAACCGTTGTCAGGCTATTCCGATGTAATAATAGCAAGTTGTAATTTATGACGTTATGAAAAGGAAAGGGTCACATTAGTGAGTTTGTGAGACAATGTATTTAACCATTGCTAAAATGTTTAAATCCACAAGTTATTCACGATATGTACGCCGTGTGTATCCAAGAGTTTAGTCATATCATACAAAATGTTAAAAATGTTATGACTGATAACCCTCCTATCACACCAAACTAGTTCTTACCCGTTCTTGCCAGTCCTACGAAAACGTCCTAAAACGGGCTCAATCTGGCTGTGGTCGGGAAATGTGTCTAAAATAATTAGCTACTTCGTTCATAAACAGTCTTCAATACGTCCATCTCATTCACAGTTCGTTCAGGTCGCACCACGTCGGTGTGCAACGTCGTATAACGCGTCCCTTGGTCTAGAAGGCCATCATAACCTGATTACAGAACGGTATGGTCGCCATCGCATTTTGAATCGATTCAAATTCTAAATCACATTCCCCGTTCGTATACAGACCATAGAACGCTGTAGCTACGTTCATTCGCATACAGTTTAAAACCGATTCGGCAACGTTTTGAAGAACACAGTGACAACTGGTTCTGGTGTGATAGCTATTTTGTTAATTCGTTATACGTTCATCACGTCTTTATACCGTCTGCAGTACGTTGGTATCAAGTTTAGATCGGGTTAAATTGTGCGTTTTTTCGTCTACACAACGTATCCAAGCAGTTCAATTACGTCCTTAATCAGTTTAAACCAGTTGACAATTAGTTGTACCTCGTTCTCAATACGTCCTAAAATGTTACTAATTGTCCACCAAATTTCCATACGGTTGAACTCGTTCTAAAATAGTAAACATCGTGTCCCTAATCCGTGAAGAACGTATTTATAATCCTCTATTTCCTGATTGGGGTGCTCACGGCTGCAATTTGCGCCTCACTACACAACGTCGTAATACATCCCTAAGGATTTAAGTACGACACTTCCGTTCGTGTCCCCAGTACGTCCAGGTCGTCTTATGTACGCTTTCACTCGTTCTGATTGCAGGACGTGACGATCACCAGAAAATTTTGAGCTTGCTCTATGTTCTGGAGGACCTACTCGTTCGAGTAGTTTCATGAAGTTTGTAAACAGATCCCAAATGGTTCTTAGTACGTCAAATAGGTTCGTGCACAGTTTAAGCCCGTTTTCGAGAACGTAGTGAGAATTAGTTTGGTGTGAAAGTAGGGTTAAGGACCATGCACCTTTTTTCTTTACAGAGTATGATTAATTTTAGCAACGTAAAATTGTGCGGTATCTACGGTTAAATAACCTGTTTTATAGGGTGATTTTACTTGACACCAGTGACTCAGTGCAAAGTTATGATGTAACAGTCTTAAAAAGATAAAATATTCATATCCTGTAATGATTAAGGCGTGATGAGGATGTACGAGGGATGATCAATAAGTAATGGACGCTTTTTTACACAGATACTTTTTATAGACCAATCCCTTTGATTTTCCTACCAGTGATACATCATTCAATAATCTATCATTTCCGAGGATTTGAAGACAAAATATAAAATACATGTTGGTATATCTTTATTTCCGTGAAGGAGGTACAGGTACCCCGGGACCGACATTTACGTCACATATTCAGTTGTCAGCCAGTTTTGCAAATTTCAGTTAGATTTAAACTTTTCATATGCAACATGTGTTGTGTTGTTTGAAATACTTTGGTAATTCATGACCATAATGGTTTGTTTTGTTCAGCCTGCATTCAACTGCATTGCATGTTAAACAAGCTAAAATAGCTTCAGGATGTTTGACGTAAATGTCGGTCCCGGTGTCAACGTATATAGACCGTACTAAATATGGTCCGCTGGACTATAAGTCCTGGAAAATATTGTCCTGGACTATATTATCTAGAATAACACGTCTGATGGACTATATTTCCTTAGATATTTTAGTCCGTGTGCTAGAACTGGGTGTCCGGGGCGGACTTTAAATACCAAATTATGGTCTCTTACAAGTCACACCGGACCATATTTTCTGGTTATATATGTCCGGGGACATATAAATAAAGGACTCTATGTATAATTAACAGTTCATTGACATACAAGACCGTTCGTGTAATACAGCCATGTCACCTATTGTATATCATCCAAAAGTGGAATGTCCCTTACATTAAAGGTTCCGTTTTAAATATACTGTCTCAAACTGATTAGTCCTGAGAAATAATAAAATAATAATGCCATGATCTTTTGTCACCCTTGCCATTTCCTTTTTTGTGAAAATAGAACATAATATAAATATTTATAACGAAATGAATATTTATTCGATTTCATTCAAGGCACAAAGGATTGGTATTGATATGGATAACTGAATTCAACAATGTTTTTCTCTTAAACCAATCATTGAAAACATTCTGTAAAAAACACGGTATTTTATGTAATGTTGACTGATTGTATTACCAATGGGACTATACCACCCAGTATTTTATAGTCTCTAGAAAAATGTAAGTAGATAACAAAGTCTCCCTGGACATCTATAACTAGAAAAATTAGGATAAGTTGTCCTGGGGACTGGAGCAACCAGAAAATATAGTCCGCATGGACACGTACATCTTGAAAATTAAGAATAAGTTGTCTCAGGGACAGAATTACGTAGAAAGTATAGTCTCTTTTACGTGAATCAGTATTAAAAATCATCACAGCAAATTGAGGAAACGAATATGCCAATGCAGTTTAGTTCCATTTTATGCAGAATATAGTAAAGAAATAAAATAAAATAAGGAAAGAGTGGGAGTCGATCCACACCATAGACAGCAGTCAGAAGAGTGTTCTAACCACTACACTAAAGGTGATTGGATGCCATCAGTGTTTTTTTAATTCATTGATAAGATATCAGATAAGTATAGATTATAGTACTACTATAGTACGACATCTATACATTAAAAATAAAGATATCATATAGGACCAAAATCTAACCGGACACTATATTCGGTCACTGCTGTCAACGTATTTATAGTCCGCCAGTAAATATAGTCCGGGGTTATATTGTATACCAATACAGAAAATATGGTCCGGGTAAGACCATACACCCTAGGACACCAGGTCCGGTGGACCTGGTGTCCTAGGGTGTATGGTCCTACGGACTATATATTCAGGGAGACTATATTTACTCTGACACCGGGGTACCCATACATCCTTCACGGAAATAAAGATATATCAAAATACATTACATGTTTTGTTTTCAAATCTTCAGAGCTGATAGATAATTGAATGGTGTATCACTGGTAAGAAAATCGAAGGGATTGGTCTATAAAAAGCATCTGTGTAAAAAAGCGTCCATTACTTATTGATCACCCCTCGTATATGAGACCAGCTACGTTCAGATGTGAATTTTGTAATATTTTATCATCCTCTACCGTGTTTACATTTGCCTTTGGAATATTTGAACTTCCCTTAGGGTTCACATTTTCTTAAAGAAGACGCTTTGAAATGTTGACCTCTTTATTTTCTGAGTACGCAGGTAAGTCAAATATTGATTTTCAATTACGATCACACGTTTTGAGTGGTGTATCGGTTAATATGAAGATATTTTGTATTGATCTATTACAGTTGGACACGGGATATCGAAAACTGGGTTAAAATCCTGTAATATTGTTAAACTACTTATAGCTATATACACAGCTGATGTGAAAGGTAAATAGTCATACAAAATTCCGTAATCGCTATAATGACTAGCCTTAAACAATTAGTAATTGATAATTTTATATTAACAATTTGACTTCCCAAATTCGAATTATATATTGAACTCGTTGTAGGAGGTTTTGGATATGGGGTATATTCTTTTTTTATCAAATGTTTTGTTTGTTAATATACTGTTTTCAATTTGTATAAAGTTTGTATAAATTATTGTGATATCGGTTCTTGAATGGTGGGGAAAGGGGGTATTAGACATTTTTTCATGTCAAGTTAAATCATGGTTTTGGGATATAATGGGTTTGTTTATCTTGACTGGTATGCACTTAGAGTTTGTAATTTCTTGCTAAGTTTCATAACAGCTGTTGGTCCTTTCCCTTTGGCACTCGTGCTTAGATATTAATTGGTATGTGTGTTATGAAGTTTATAAAAATATTCATGAATCGCTATTATGAATGCATCTGCTTGGTGTCATGAGTTACCAATCTCTCGAAGTTAAGTACAATTCGAACTTATATTTCTACTAAAATGATATTACATTGCAATATGATAGTTCTAATTTGGCTGTTTATATACTGGAAAAACTCGTTTCCTGGTGATATTGCTTCATAAAGTCTGCACAAATTTGAGAAAATCGATCATAACAGACAACTAACATCCATAATAAGTGTCTCATTAGTGTCCAGGAAGAGCATAATGAAAAAAGCAATGAACAGTTTCGATTGACGACATTTACAAACACAGCTTTACAAATACATTTATTCAGCTTCATATGACATTTTATATGTGCACTAATGTTTAAGAGGGAGTCTAATTGAATAATTTAGCAGGCAGCTTAAAAATTATTTTCAAAATAGTTTTTTAGAATATCCGATAAGCTTGGAATATGTTGCATTTTTACCACGATTGATTCGTTTTTTCTCATTAACTGTGTCTCCCGAGCGTAATCTTGAGCAGTGGTTATGGTGAGTTTTTAAGATTGAACATGGATTCAGACCATGTTTCTTCAGTCTGTTGGTGATTGTATACATAAAAAGGTTTTCAACACCAAGTAAATTAATCGGATAATTGAGAAAATTAAGACTCCATTTGTCAAAAGCTGTGTCCATAAACATAACATGTGCATCGTGAGATCCTTGATACGCCATGGTGCAAAAGTTGACATCTGACGTGCAGTTGGCCAATGTGGTAGAATGTCTAGTTAAACAATATGCCACCTTATGCTCTACTAGATACTCTTCTTTGATCAGGTTAAACCCATCTCCGAGGGATATATCAGCGTTCATTATAGAAATGTTCTTAAACATCAAATGTTCGTTTGCATACTGAGCATAATCCTTGTAAGTGGGGAAACCTGGTAATTTGTGAAAACGAATCATTGTGTCGATGTCCAAAGCTTTGAAAAGAGAAGTTTCTAGTGATTTTAAATACATTTCCACATCTAGGTTTTCAACGAGAAGGTGTATTTTTTCAACACATTGGTGTTTCATATTTAATGAAAGAGTCCGGATGAAATCCATTTGGCGGTTTTCAAATCGTTCCATAGATGTATTTAAAAATCCATGCGAGGAAATATCGTGGGATGACTTTAAGATTGGAAATGTTGTAATAATATTTATCCTCGCATCACACCTCTCAACACGAACAATTTCTTTAGCTTCGAATAATGATATCAAACGCTGGTCTAGTTTAATGTCTATTGTTTCATTAATCCATTTCTTGTTTAGTCCAATTAGCAGAATCACTAGCCAGACAACTGGAAGCATCAAAAGAAAGATACACGTGTACTTTTTTATCGATGACATATTGTCAAATATTGATACGTCCTTATTTTACTTATTCAAGTCGTCAATGATCAAGAAAAAAATGTGACCACTGACCAATATTATTTAACACTTCACTACGACATTAGGTGCCTAGTACCCAACATAAATTTTGTCGCGAAAAAGTCAAGTGAATTTTATTCATTATGGCCAGCATAAAGGATAGGTATCGATATGGTGGACTGAATTCAACAATGTTTTTCTTATGAACCAATTATTGAAAACATTCTGTAAATAAAATAGTACCGTGGGTACTGGGCTCACATGGTGTTGCTCAAAGGTGAATGATGGCTAAAATGACAAAAATCGGATATAATTTTTTGCTGATTTTTTGTAACAAAATTATTTCAAGCCACTTGCAACTATTTCGGACTGACTGAGAGACGGATGGACAAATCGAAGTTAAGTAAAATGGCTGAAAAAAAAACGGATATAATTTTTTGCCAATTATTTGTAACAAAATCATTTCTAATTCATACAACTACTCTTTACAGTGACGTGGCTTTTTGCAATGCAGGACACCTAAAATTATTTGTAAAGCTAGGAAATGGGCCAAAATTGAATTTCACGAGACAAAAAATGGCAACCATTTTGAAAATATACAAACTTTTGAAGCAGGAGTCATAGGGGAGTTTTTTGTATTGATGTTGAACAAAATTAACTTGAAACTGGAATCCTATCAACACTGGTTTTAAGGCAAATGGTCCAAAAGAGGATTTCGCGAGACAATTGGACAAATCAATGTTAACTAAAATGGCTGAAAATAAAAAAAAACAGATATAATATTTTGCCGATTTTTATAACAAAATTATTTCATGTAATACATATTTTATATATACATATTTTATGTAATGTTGACTGATTGGCAACAATTTAATGCAAAAATGATTTAAATATATTTTATATAACTGTTTTTGTTAACATTTTTTGTTTTTTAGTGCAATTGTTTTTTGTTCTATTTCTACCAATCCTTGAGAATGAAATAAAATGTCTTTCCGAACCTTGTTGGAACAAAATAGCACACTCAACATTTTCTTAGACCTCTCAATATCATAATTATACAAAGGAAATTTTGGTTGATTTAACAAAAAGTATGCATAACCTTAAAACAACCCCCCCCCCCAAGAAAATAGATAAAAATTGAGATAACCCTTTTATTTCATTAACAAGATACTTTTACTCTATATTGGAGTATGTATGACCGCTAAAATTCATAAATGCAAATAGTTTTGTTTCTTGACGGTTTATCATATTAGAATCGTAACAAAGACCTCGATTATATGATTCATGTCAAATATATGATCTCAAATTTCATTCTGGCCATTGCCAAAGACCTCAATCGCTACGGTCTCTATTCTTTAATTATAATATTACCATCCAAAAGGTGACCAATAATTGACGATGTGTAAATTTTTCAGAATGTTTTGATGGCTGGTTTAAGAGAATTGCGTGTTCAAAAAGTTCACCATATCGATACCACTCCTTTGCTTTTACTTTTACCAACATTACTTTTTTATTCATCCAAAAATATATAGATTGTTTGCATTACAAATGAGGAGGGAAGTTAGCGCAACAGATTTTGGACAGTCATATGTTTGATTTTGGCCATTTCCTGGGGATTTAAACAGGTGCATATGTTAGGCCAATGCATTACCTCCAGGAAAATCACTTCTAGGGATGATAAAATAATTTCGACTGTGAGACAGCGTAGATGCAAACAACCCACCCACATGTTTTTTCTGAAATGTTTTCCTAATTTTCAACCCCTTCCATCCTTGCTTTTTTAATTTTTCTTGCATCAATATGTTGCGTTTTGGCACAAAGTTAATCCCTTAAAAGGAATAAATGATTCCTTTTAGATAAAGTGGAAAACAATATTTCCCATGTTATTTTCCCATTGGAAAAATCATTGCTTTCAGCTAAGTTTGGTCACCCATAATGGGTATCTTTAAAACCCCTGAAGGAATCACTTATTCCTTTTAAGTGGTTAACTATGTGTCAAAATGCAACATATTGATGCAAGAAAAATTTAAAAAGCAGAGGTGGAAGGAGTCGAAAAATTAGGAAAACATTTCAGAAAAACATGTGGGTGGGTTGTTTGCATCAACCCTGTCTCAAAGTAGAAATTATTTTATCATCTCTAGTAGTGATTTTCCTGGAGGTAATGCATTGGCCTAACATATGCAATTGTTTAAATACTCAGAAAATGGCCAAAAACCAACATATGACTGTCCAAAATCTGTTGCGCTAACTTCCCTCCTCCTTTGAGACCTTCATATATCGTCGTCAGTTAAAACAATTTATAATCCAATACTAAATGTGTATAGCTGTACGGGAAATCATGTCTCAATTATCAAACCCACATTCATCCCCACTCATGTCACAATATTATTAAACTCAATTTTTCATTTTTGTACAATCCTTTATAAATTGGAAGCTCCCGTTGCAACTTCTCGTAATAGATGTAGTATTTTGCTATAAAAATGGTCCCTTTTTCAAAATACCAAACAATACAGTAAGCAGAAAAATATGAGGGATCTTTCAAAGTATTTTATATTATTGACTTCCAAAATTGATTTCCATGATCACAGTTGAAGAAGATTTAATCACGTACAAGTTTCTACATTCACATGACACAATTCATATATCGGCGATAATGTTATTTAGGAATGATATAGATCGTTGTTTGTGTCTGATACATTTTTAAGAACTTATATCGAAATACCTTACGTCTCGAAAGTCAGACGTGAATTGTAGCAGTAGAATCCCCAATATTTTCTTAATCGAATGGCATGTATTAATTTAGAAATATAGACTGAAGAGCAGGGGTAATCGTCAATTACGATTCGAACATGAAAACACACCTTGCCATGAACCCCCTTCCCCTCGGCTACGAGCCTTCGTATATTGTGTCTCAAACTTGGTAATAAACCACCTATACTGTATTGTGTTGAGAGAGAATTTGTTTTATATTTACATTGGACTTCAAATAACTTATAAAATAAGTTTAGAGAATACATAACGAATAAAATACATGGTGGGGATTCTGAAAAGAAAAAACGACACGTAAAGTTTACCTATATTTATTAACATTTTCTAAAATAAACACGCATGATAACCTGTAGTTTATAAGTGACCAAGAGACCGAGGCGAGTGTCCTAAAAGAGTAGAACAGTCAATTTTTTTCCTAGGCTTCTTTTTATTATTGCATCTAATATGTCCATACCCCCGTAACATTTCAGTTTTTATGTGATTTGGCTCGGCCGTGCCATTCGACTGAAATTTGTATTGAATGATATACCTGTCCGTTTCAAATATTACTCGTGGAGTAAGTGTTAAAATTTCTCCAAATGAAATATATGCAGAAAATATTTCTGGGTAGGCTGTTCTAGATCTGATGGCAAAAAAATATTTTGGCAACAGGCATAGCCGAAGTCAAAGTTTGGTACGAAAATAACTACCGCCATGGTCAATTTTTCAGGTAGTTTACCTTCCTTAGGTAGGCTAGTATCGTGCTTATTAAGACGTAATAAAATATGAAATAAGATATACCCATCATATACATGTTTGTTATTTTGGGTTTGTTGCAAACATATTTATACTTGCCACTGTAGCCTTATAACGCGCCCTTGCTCACATTTATTCGATGTTACGGCTTTTCTACGTACCGGCTGTAAGTTTGCATGAAATCCGCGGCACGGTTAGTATGCCCTAACCTTGTAACTGTAATTGCTATACTGATTGTATCATCCCCGGGAATAAAATCACTAATTGGTATACACTAGTCAGGGTGATCCAGGATCTCAGGTTAGGGGGGGGGCGGCTTGATTGACTGGTAGGCCAATCAAAGACTATGTCAATTGTAATACTGTAGGGTAGATGAGAAGATGTGAATAAAAATCGATAAATTGTACATGTACAGGGTGTCCCGAAAGTATGGGGCCCCCCCTAGGCAGACATATACCAGTGTCGTCATAGTATGTGTCATATATCATTTTAAAGCTTATTCAAAGTTACATTGATTCACCAAGTATCATGGTTCAACTCTCAAATGTGAAAAAATTACAGGCATTTCAAAATTTAGTGTTTGGACAAAATTAAATTCAATTTTACACCAAATTACTAGTCAATGTGTCCTCCTAGGCCATCTTAAAAGCAGCAATTCTTTTCGGGTCGGATGGATAATGAGTTGGAAAAAGGGAACGGTGAGGGTAGAAACTCAAAGGAAACTCTTCTAAAGTGCCTTAGCAGGTTTTAAGAGGGTTATAAAATTCCACACCCCTATTTGAAGGGCTTTTAAGGTCATATTTGAAAATAATTGCGGCTGTTAACATGTCCAAGGGGGGACTCATTGACTAGTAATGTGGTGTAAAATTGAACTTTATTTTGATAAAACACTAACTTTTAAAATGACTGTAACTTTTTCCCATTTGGGAGTTAAACCATGATACTTGGCGAATCAATGTAACTTTGGATAAGCTTTAAAATGATATATGACACATACTATGAGGACACTGGAATATGTCTGCCTAGGGGGGGCCCCATACTTTCGGGACACCCTGTACATGTCGTATTTACCCCTCCGGAGCCCCCATCATGCATTTTATTAATATTCGTATAATGTATACTCTAAACTACCATTAACCAAAGTACTACAGTATAGCGAGATTAGCTTAGGTTCCACTTAAAGGTTAATCTGACATTCCTCTCAATTTACTTTAATTTCTATATTTGTATGTTTAAGGTTTGCCCGTAAAGCGATATTCACAAGGTGAAAGAAAGATCATACTTTATTATTTTTTATACAATTACTTGTATATTGGTTTGTTTTATATATAACCTTTACAATAAATGTTACCAGAATATACGATTTTGTTTACTGGTTATCTATTCATATAATCCAGTGATGTGTCGTGACAAGCACCAAAACATGAACGAGGAAGTGAAAAAATAAATTCACTTACATAAGGGCGCGTACGTAGGTGTATACTAGTAGTTTAAATACGTGAAATAAATATAATCAAAATGTATCCTGAACAGACAAGCCATTGGATTATTTCTATCTTGATGTGCATCATTGCTGGTAAGATTTTTTCGAACTATGTGTAACTAATCTTTATCCTAAGTCAATTTAATGTGAATATGAATTACATTTTCACTTTCAGGAATGACTATTGATGTATAGAGAGTTAGTTCGTGAAATTTCATTTATGGAAGTCTCACACTGTTTCCATTATATATATATCAAAATACTAAAGGATTTATGCCCTGGACTCGGTGCATTGATTGTTGAATCATACCATGAAGGTGTTGTTTCCAAACCTTTACATGACCGCGCAGCGGGAATGCTAAGTTTAGGAAATAGCGCCTGGGTGAAATAAAGCATCTACAATGCACTGAGTCTTGGAGCTAAAATTCTTTTTACACATTGCAATTTTTCTAAAAAATCATCCAAAAGGAACAAAATCACTAAAAGAACACATTTTCAATGAATTTTTTTGCAAGGGTCAAGTTGGCAAGTCATCAAATCCAGTATGACAAATCCATTCATCACCATGACACACTGTTCATTATGTGAATATTCTGTTCGGATTGACTGGAATCGGACACACCTTGCCTAGCTATGTGTGAATATACAATTGATAACAGTCCCGTCGGCTTCGGCGTATATAATGTATATTCTGACCAATTACGAACTTCGTTTCCATCGAAGGATTTAAGATTTTCCTCCAAAGTATGATAGTAGAAAAAATCATGGAAACCCCCACAATAAAATAACGAAAGCTCCCTGACATTATGTCCAATCGACACCAGTTAAACAAGTGAACACTTGGACTTGCTTATAACATATTATACAAATATTGAATTCTGTGGAGTTGAATATCTATATCACCCTGGGTATAGTCTGTCACGTGACTTCATGGATGACGTGTGCGCGAGTGATTCGCATTTTCTTTCGCTTGAGGTTTGTAATCACACTTTTTACATGTTTTAAGATTTTGTATCTCTGTGAAACTTGTCCCGTACCATCAATGTCTGAAGACGATCTAATTCACCAAATATCTCATCCAAGCGTGTCCCGGTTAAAGAGAAATTCGCACTTTTGTGTCTCGCAAAATGACGTGTGCGCGAGTAAATCGAATTTTACGAAGGATGGGTGCGCGAGTTTAATGACAATAAATGTTTTGAAATAGCTTGTAGGGCTGTCCGGCATTGCAGGTGAATTAAAATTTGAACCAAAAATTGAATTAAATTTTTGGCGGTCTCATAAAACCGGCAGCATATTCATTTATTGACATCCCATACAGGGGGGGGGTCAGAGTTGTTATGTGGTTACTCGGCATCCGCCACGATCAGAACCATGTAAGGAATAGTAAGGGGGAGCCCATGATACCAAGTAATATCAAATAATTATAGGAGCTTCTAACTTCTTCCGCATCCCCACCCTTGGTATACGCAGCTGACAAAATGGATCGGTACGGGTCAAAAGCTGGACCGGTACGGGTTAACGGTTTTATTTGAATTTAAAACAGCTATAACTTGCTCAATATTGACTTCTTCGTATCTAAGTTCAAATATATGATCCCTCCGAATGATTTTAAGTACCCCCAAAGTTCACCCGTACAGGTCCAGCTTTTGACCCATACCGGTCCATTTCGTCAGCTGCGTATACCAAGGGTGATCCCACATACTTTGTTTTTACAGACTCAGAAATCAATGTTCGCTATAAATGTAGCAATATAATATGAGCTTTCGTGTACTCAGATCCTCCATTTGTAAAAAACAATTGAAGAACAGCATAATAGAAAGTCAAATACAAAATTGATTTGCGCCCAAAATAGTTTGGGTAATGATTCCCGTCACTACCATGCATTTGTACCCAAAGCAAGGTATTCTGATGGGTAAAATCTTGATACCTCCCCCTCCCCTACTAAAAATGATTTGAATTTTGTTTAAAAATATATACCCCAAGAACACTTTAAGGTATCATAAATTATTGAGGTAGTTATTAGTTAGAAAACACCGTGCCCTTGTATTTATTACAATTCTAGAACAATTTCATGAAACGACTCATAAGGAAATTGTTTTTGTAACTGTTTATACATTTCACTTGTTATTATTAGTTTCAGGTATTTAATATGGATAGCCCAAGCACGAGGGTACATAGCATAGTTTTCTTTGTAATGTGGTCGTGTGGACTATCATGTTCAGTTTTAATCAATTTTATTTTGTTGTTTATTGAATCAATCTGGATTCTTTCGTTTGATAGTTCTTTTTCGAATGGAATGAAGCCATACCGTTTAGACATGTATGACATAAAACCATTTTCGTGGTTTAAAACTCTTACATAAAAACGAAATTCGTCATACTTATGTTCTCCCCAGGTATGAAGGGATACACCCTCTAGGCCTTCGAACCTTTGAGTTCCTGGTGGACAGTGGTAGCAGGCGTACATATTTCCTGCAAAGGGAGAAAGGTATGCTTTTCATATGTTTTTAAATCACCTTGTAACAAAATCAATATTGTGTCTAGCTTGCAGAATTGTTTAAAATGAATATAAATATGTTAGACTCGCGCACCCATCCTTCGTAAAATTCGATTTACTCGCGCACACGTCATTTTGCGAGACACAAAAGTGCGAATTTCTCTTTAACCGGGACACGCTTGGATGAGATATTTGGTGAATTAGATCGTCTTCAGACATTGATGGTACGGGACAAGTTTCACAGAGATACAAAATCTTAAAACATGTAAAAAGTGTGATTACAAACCTCAAGCGAAAGAAAATGCGAATCACTCGCGCACACGTCATCCATGAAGTCACGTGACAGACTATACCCAGGGTGATATATATTTCTGAAGGTGTATTCATATGAATACATCCCTAAGAAATATATACAGATATTAAACGATCACAGAGTTCAATATTTGTTTTATTATTTCCTCATTAGTTTCAACGTATTTCCAAATGTTTGCCAATATTCTTTTATAAATCACGATCTCTGTCACATCATAATATATAAAAATTAGATTCGGATCTTCCATGTTAAAGTCCATAGTCTTCGTGCTTTCATTAGTTGACATTTTGAATACATTTGTAAAATCTTTATCCCGCGTTTGTTATACAGTATTGAACCTTTTCTTGGGAGGACTTCGTGATACAACTTCACCGTCTGTCATATCGGATGAAAATACTTTTTACTAAATTCCCGGGAATTCAGTGATGTGACGTCATTTTTAGTGAATATCACTATTTATTCAATTAAAATGACGTCATTTTTAGTGAATACACTCTTCACACGTTTTCTAAGCAGGGAGACAAGGAACACCTCTATATATTTTTAGTCACATGGTATCTAATTGACCAATGAGAGAAAAAGTATCGCGGCATGGAAATGATATATATATATATCAAGCTCATGCTCATACATTCGAAATAGTTTATGATAATTGATATTTAAAAAAATACAAAATTCGAAAATATTTAATATACATATGACGATGTTTTTTCTTGAAGTGTAGAGTAAACACATTATATTTTATAAATTCGTAAGCGGCATCATTGGAACTATTTTGGCATTTCGTAACCTGATCAGTTTTCAAAGTAATAAAAAGTAACATATTTTCGTTAATCGTTCAATAAGTCTGGTTTAATTTCAAATAAGATATTACTTATCACATTTTGTGTGTATTAAACAAACAATAAACATGTTTCCTTGGATATGAGTATTGAATTGTAAAAATAAAAATGTAAATAGAGTCAACGTTATCGTTTAAAATTATTAGCCGCAAATTATTTTGAACGATATCACAGCGAAAAATGGCATAGCATTCGATAGTTTTTGTACATATCCCAAATCCCGGATATTTGTCGTATTCTGGAATATCCTAAAATATACCGATACTTCAAATATCCAGAAACATATTTAAAAGGATATTTCTGGATACTCCAAGTTTCCAACTTTCAACATATCCGAATTAAGGATATTTCAGGAGACTTGACGACCTTAGTATCCAGAAATATTTTTGATTATCCGGAATAGTGATTCCCAGAAATTATGCGTGTACATATTTAAAGTTCAATTTACATCTTTAGTGTATTTAAAACGTTTGTTTGGCGTTTCACCAAATGTAAAATATCTTGAATGAATTTCTGCTGAAACAACATTCTCATCGTGATATCTAAACCACTCAAAATGGCTGCCATCGAAAAACTGTGTTAGTTTGGGAAATTCAATCGACGATCACATCAAAAATAAATATGAACAAAATGCACCTTCTGGCATAGCTTTCACCACATGTATATTAATATGGCCGATGTGTTGGAGGATACAAATATTTTACAAACCGTATAAGGGAATACCGGGCAAAACGGCCCTGTGGGGCAAAGTGGCCCTTCGAAATATCTTTTGAACTATAAAAAGACGGATCTTCAAAAGTCACATAATCGAATTTTGAAATTTCCGCCACCTTCTCGACCGCCAATTTTTAACCAAGCAGCGCCTCGCTTTACGTGAGAGGTAATTCTACTTTTCCGTTTTGCCCCACCCATGGGCCGTTTTGCCCCACTCTCGACAATATTTTTGACCATTGAAAAATCACAGAAGATAGTCCTAGGCAAGTATAAAACAATCGAAAATGTAAACCACAAACCATCAATAAAGTGGAACATCAAAGTGCGCGATGATTGACAGATAAGAAAATATCACGTACAGAACAACTTAAAACTAAATTTTTAGGGCCGTTTTTCCTCATGTTCCCTTACATATAGTAAAACATAATTAATTATGTGACTAAGACATATCAAACATCCCGCTTTCAAGAGTTGGTCCGAGTTAATATTTGCCGAACAAATATAATATCTCATAATTGTCTACTAATCCATCATTAAAGTGATATTTTTAAAAAAGATAAGCAATATTTCAAACAGGTACCTTGTGGTAATGATTGCTTAAAGTCTGGTCAACAAAAAATAACAAATTGGATGTCCTTGAACTCAACATATATGTCGCAGTCTCTAGTACAACAACAGATTTTTAAAACATCAATTATCGTAAATTGTCCAATAAATACTTCAGTGTTCCTGAGATACGAATCTACTTGAACGTTTTTTTCGAAGAAACCTGTCATTTGGACCTAAGCAGAAAAAGCAATAGAACGCGGAAGTAATAAACAGACTGGAGATAGCGTGTGTGTGCATATTGCATACTGTACTCCAACTAATATTTGACGCTATCATAATTTTGCTTTTTGCAATTTTCAAGTTTCGCGGCTATTAATTTTCGTTAATTTTCAGTCTGGTGAAATTTTGCGGCGATCAATTTTCGCGGATTTGTGGCTTGTTAAAATATTTCAGAACTCGAAATAAATCTAATAAAACAGAACCAACCTAACTTTTATCGCCCAGCAATTGACAAAAACATCATAACCATTGATTAAAATCGGGATTTTGTGACTATTATGTTTTGCGAATTAGAACTATTAGAATTCCACCGCTATTATATTTCGCAAACTTTCCAAAACTCGAAAAGCACAAAATATAGTAGCACGCGAATATTACCAGGAGTACAGTATGTTGTACTTGTCACGTACACCAATGTTTTATTTGATGATTTCGCTTATTCTCAAAATGCAAAAAGTAAGTAATACTTTGGACATCGGGAAATAAATTGAAGTTTACCTGTTTATACGGGGATTCGAATATTCTACTAAATGAAAATCAGTAGTAATGTGTGTTTGGTTTACATCGCCTTTGATATAGTCCCGGTTCAGAAATAAGTGCACAAGTATAAACATTTTCAAATGTAGGTCAACTAACGCCCCCAGCAGGCCAATGCTAGATTTATTCGGAGTCTTTACCTATCAGATTATTCTCATATACTCAATTTGTAATTGTAATCTTTCAGCATCGAGTGAGAATATAACCCTCATAGAAGGTCCTAAAGATACTGCAGCACTGTCTGGACAAAACGCCACTTTGATATGCCATGTCAATACTACTGCATCCGGGTCTGGTCATGTTGTACAGTGGGTAGGCAATTCCTATAGAACAGGATTAGGTCGTCCACTATCGGTTAATGATAGAATCACAATAACGGGTGCACCAAACAAGTTCTCTATAAGTAGTTTGAAGCCCTATAATCTTCATCTGCAAAACACAGACCTGGATGATGCGGGAAAGTATACTTGTAACAACGTACTCATTGGGTCTCCTGTTGGTGGTCTTGAGCCCCAGTTAGTCGTACTTGGTAAGTACTAAGTAGTACCTTTATTTTATACAGGTTGTTTGTATAAATATGACCCCCTCTTTTTGAAGAGTATGAACTTTTGTGCATAAAAGTGCATCTAGTTTATCTAGTCATCTTATACTTTTGGAGTCGCTCTATGAAGCCTATTTTAATGTGCTAAAGAAAAATTCAGATATATCATGCAGACAAAAAACCTATGCAACATTATGTGGATGTTAAAGTTGAGAACATATCTATTTGACTCCCCGTATTTGAATAAATTATACACATAGTAAGATAACATATCAATCGTGTTTGTATGTACTCATCATCTTTGGAGGAAATGAAGAAAGAATAAACAATATAACAAATATTTCCAGATCCTGAACCATGTCCAATGTCAGCAAATACAACATCTCGCGAGAACGATACTATAAAGATCACGTGGTCTGTTAAATATGCTGGTAACAGAAATGATAGCCAGAAACCCACCATTAGATGGACATTGAATGGTATCCAACAGACTGCAACAGTAAATGAAACAACACCAGGGGATTTCAGCTCTTCGTTTACAAGATCGGCAAGTAGTGACGATGACCAGATGGAACTAAATTGTTCCTTAAGCGTATTGAATATCCAAGAACACTGTTCAACTAAACTTGATATACAGTGTAAGTATTCCAGAGACATGAATCCGATCTTCTCGAACATTTCAATTTTAATGTAATTACGTGTTGTCGACATACGCGATGGCTACGGTTGATGATTGCAAGCCAAATGTACAACTGACCTACCAATCTTCCTTACAATCTCAAATACAATATCTCCCAAAATACCCATGACATGTTATAAATGGGTTAAGTTATCAAGAATTCAAAGTGCAAAAATTGAGAGAAAATGTTTAAATTCTCCCAAATTACAAAAATGGTAACCAAAGTCAAAGTCAAAAAAATTGTAATATGCCCAAGTAGTTTTCTTAAAGTAAAGTATGTGATTTGGGGAATCTCATTCTCTCTTTAGATTAATGCTCGATTATGTTTTTTATTACCATATAACATAGCTGAAATGTGTTATTTAAGATCCAGCGCGGATGCCCGTCCTCTTTGAAAATGGTAAAAATATTAGAGATCAGCATAACTCAAAACACACAATTGGAAGTAATGTACAACTAAAAGGAGAATCGCGTGGAAATCCAGCATCAACAATAACATGGCAAGTTAAAACGACGAGTGATGAAAACTTTGGTTCTGAAGAAGCCGGGGACACAAAGCAAATCAATAACATACAGTTCAACCAGACCGGGGTGTACAAATGTTGTGCCAGAAATGCTCTAAATGGTTATAGGGAGTGTAGTGAATTAACCATTGAAGTCGGTATGTTTACACCCCCCCCCCCCCTCAATATTAAGTTTCTCGACCGAAAATCCCCTTTTGGACAGCGTGTTCGAGCCTGTCATCACTCTACAGCAAGGAAATGTATTAAATAGATCAAACCATGACACGACGCTTTAAAACGCTATCTAATAAAAATGGAAGCGAGTGTGCATCTGTATCCAGTGAAAGAGTTAAAAAAAATTCAAAGCTTTCTGTTTTATGGACTCGTTAACCTATCCATGTGATTTTAGTTCTATTCTATTCTTTTACATTTTGATGTGCCACCAGTGGCAGTTAGCAGAGCGGCCTCGACGTCACCCTATATGCACGCCCTTTGGGTTATACTTATCGTATCGTTCTCTTAGAGGTAAGAATCTAATTTCATACCCTCCCCTCCATAAGTTTGGCAACCTTTTTCCCCCATTGAACTACGTGTTAAAGCCTCTTTACCTTTGAATTTTTATTTACTTAACCTGCGATGAAAATACTTATATTATTGATGGAAACGTAATTTGACTTTAATTCCAATACCTCCAAATGTTCTCAATTTTTTTCCTCAATTACAATAGGTCGAAAATTGATGATGAATTTTTGAAAATCGACATTCCCATGTTAACCAGAGAAAAAAGGTTGCCAAACTTATGGAGGGGAGTGTATAAGCTTGACCTACATTACACAATTTCAACCTGATTTCGTATTTAAATTAAGGCGATATAAAAAAAACTATTGACAACTACTTTATGCATTTTTGTAATCAAATATGTATTCAAGTGAATATTTGACATAGCTTAATACAATAAAAGTAAACAATGTAAACTCACTTTTTATGAGATAGGCATGCATGTATACAAACTGGGCAATCCTACTGTTTACCATTCAATCATTTTGAATGACTAGACTGTTAAAATCGTTGAGCCAATATTTATCTATAAAGCCTATGTCAATATATTTTAAATAATATAGACAGTTGAAATTTATTGAGGCATAGGGTGCAAAGAACACTTATGTTAGCCCGGTTGCATGTTAAAATTAAGTTAATGTTTCAGATACCTTGATTGAATCATTAAAAGGACTGACGTTTTTTATGAATCTCATTTTCATTAAAACTGACATTACGGTGATTTCCGTTTGATTTTCTAACTAAAGTAGATTCAATAGATATCAGTAAGCAAAAATAGTATTCAAATAGATTTGCAACTAATTCAGGTCGTACAGAAACAATTAATAGAAAACTCGAGAACCAAAGCAGTTAAGTTTGACCTGCGTGGATATTTCTCACCTTAGGTACTCATTGCACTGGATGCAGGGTAAAGAATTAAAAAGAAAATTAACTCGTTCAAAACACGTTTGCTTTAATTTGGCATAAGGGGTTTAATTTTTCAAAAACATATCCATGTATAACTTGGAAAGGTATTTAGACTTAATATAAAGATTAATTACTTCAAAGATGTGATATTTTTCTCTCATTTTTACTATGATCCATGCATGCAATGTCTATCAAATCAATCACATTGCATATTTAATGTATAATTAGTTTACTTTTTGCAGATTTAATGCAATGGTAGCTGGAACATTACCCTTTGCATTCGTTTGACTTCACTTCTTAAAAGAGAGCTTCGTAGTTTAACTAGACTCTGAACGCAAGGTACTGGAACATAAGCATTTGGGATGTACACCCCCCCCCCCTCCCTCCATACATTTGGTAACCGGGAGTATCATGTATATATGTTTGCTGATTCACAAATCATCAAAGTTCCATGTGCAGTTTGGCAAGTGATTTTAGACAGTCATATCTTTCACCATGAGTACTTTCTGGGTATAAATACACCGTTTTTTATTAAAACAATATGTTTTCTTTAAAGTGAAGTTCCCATGATAGTAAAATATCAATCCAACTCTCTGAAATATTATGGTTTAGGACCCCACCTTGGCACTTTTTACAAAGGGTTAATGTTAATCTTGTTTAATTTCTCAATTTAACCATATCGAAAGTTTTTTCTACACTGCATGAACAACTTCTGTGTCGTGTGCTCTCCAATGGTTACAAGATTGCATCGTTCTACGTGGCCTGCCCTTGTATCTAGGAAAGGACGTTTTATAACCAAAGGTCTGTACAAGACAGTTCATTGTAACTTATATGAAGTAATATTCCGTAAATAATAAGACAAAAAATGTCTAAGATATCTATTCAGATATAACACTGTTCCATTTGATACTTACATATCATAACCTGGTACTTAGAAGCAACTACAGGCAATGTATATCATCTTGAAAAACAAGACGAAATGTATTATAACGTATAACAAATACGTAAGTTCACATATAATCGAATATTATTGTATGCAATATAAAATGAGTCTGTATGTTTATTTTATTATTTTAAAGTTGTAGTTTTTGTTAATGTAGTTGTGTACTCGCGTACCTTCAATTAATATGTAAATATTAGCAGATTAATAAAACGAGTTGTGAAATGTATCTTAATATTCTTGGCTTGAAAATTATAAATAGGAGCCAGGACTCGTATAGATGGCAATGACTTGGCACTTAATTTCTCCAGTGGGCTGCTCTCTCGTGGTTGTTCTTTACACCTAGCAAATTGGTTTGTGGAAATATTGCTGTCTTGAAACGTCGAGTACGCTATAAATCAAATCAATATCACATGTTCTCATCATGATTATTTATTTACATTCCAAGTTTCAATATCACAATTTTTTGGGATATTTTCAGAAGATATTGCAGCAATATCTACATGTTAAAGTATACAATTAACCTACTAAATTTTTCGACATCTATCAACAGTCCTCGAGATCATTGTCATTAAAAGATTAACTATTCGTGGTGACATCTATACAAAGCCATGAAATTATTCATGCATGTGGACTTCCCTGTGTTCTTTTATGTGCAACGATTCCCAGGCATACAGGAACACCACATCCTTTCCGAATGATTTTTGGAACAATCAATCAAACACCCTGAATTACATATAAAGCTGTGTAGACGTTATTCAATGCAAGGAAGTAAATGTAGGTGTTATATATGCGTCTTCAAGGTGAGATTCGAACTCATGCAAAACTTAGTGGATAACGAATTGCATCGGCATATCTAATACATTGCCCAACACCCTACCTGATTTTGAACGTGAAAACGAAATTATTAAGTTATTTGGCCAGGATCGGGGCATTGCAAGCTTTAGCTTCTCCATTTCAGCTAATAGACAGAATATTTTTAAATGTATGAGTGGGTTAGATATTTTAATCAATTGTAAATTGTGTCTTTCAAATTGATGGGCCAGAGATTATGTTCCAGACACGACGTCACAGAATCATCAAGATAACAAATAATCAAGATCCATTCTATTTTTATTTAGATTCTAATCGGTGATTTAACATATTGTGGGATTTGCGGTGGGGCCCGCACAATGTGGGATTAATCACTGGATGTTAATTTTGTCAGGGTTTTTTAATGAGCAATAGGTCCCGGTGGCGGGGTCTCCACCGTCAACGCAACTCTTATATGATTACACAATCCACAAAACAATTAGAATTATATTTGCAACATATATCATGAATTACAGAGCTTTTATTTTCCTGTTTTTATTACAAGAAAAATCGACAAGTTCTTACTATCAGGCTTCAAAACTAAATCCAATGGATTGTCATTATCTATCAAAAGTTCATATCAAAATAATCTCTCTAATATGGAAATCAGATGGCTACATCGACATCTCAATCAGTTGGCCCAAATCACCACTCACTACGTCAAAAGTTCATATCAAAATATTCTCTCTAATATGGAAATCAGATGGCTACATCGACATCTCAATTAGTTGGCCCAAATCACCACTCACTACGTCAGGGACTGGAAAATACTAAATACATGCACTTACGTAAATTATTCCGTGTGGCCGATCGCGCAACAAATCTGGACACCCGTGAATACACTGGCACACTCAGTCGGAATAAGCGCTACTAAATCGCAGATCTCGGAAGTACTACTCCAAACTTGAACACATCGACAATTATCCTCAATTATCCAAGATTCAATAATGCGACTATAATCCAAATAGCACGCTACAACATGTAAAATATCGTCACGCCGCCGTACAGGGTATGTCCATTGAAATATCGATGAGTGCGCACTTTTGCCAATAGAGATTTCTTTTATAACCCAGCTCACTACCTTTAACCGCGCGTATGGAAATAAGTCGCAAATAAGTACGCCGGATAAACTAAATAGACAATGGTTACGGTGACTAGTATGCAAAATGTAGAAAGAAAATACAAGAGATAAAACTAAATGTGTTTGATTGTATAAAAAGGAAGAAATGTGCAAGAAATAACGTGAAATGAACATAAAAATAGTTCCGGAAGAAAATTAATATCCGGTTTATCAATCGAAATTTATTGCCAAATAGTTTCACGAAATTCTCCGGGGAATACAGACTAATCACTATGATCTTCCTAAATTTATAAATCGGAGCACACATATATTAAAAATGAGTAAGTGGGAACAACTAAACCGACATACGGAACAAGAAATTGAAGATCCGAACAAAATCCTAATTTTTTATAAACAAACCACAGTTCGTTCAGTGTAACTCCCCGGAAGAACACAAAATTAAATTGCATTTTCATTACAATATATTTCCAAATGCCATACATATAAACTTATATATTTCGGTGTTGTTGAAGTGATGATGCGTCGATTCGTGATGGACAGCTCCATAACTAACTGAATGGTATTGTACTTGAACAGATTGTGTTACCAAAATGTACACGTCTGTATATTGTCCTATGCATTGCATATTACCAAATTGTACAACTCAGAGTGAAATATATGCAACGTTAATTTGAGGTTACATTTGTGTGTCAGTCTGTAGCTCATCCGTTGCATTCCTTAAATAATAAAAGTAATACGAGCCGTTTCTCTTGGTTCTGGAAACTTCATCTTCGTGAATATCGTCGATAAGAACATCATTTCCATCATCTGGAAAATAAGGACAAAGTCAGAGTCGGGGCAATCTGCGCGACTAGGTTCGGGTTTTGCTTGGTTCGTTTACTCATTAATGGAAGTGCTTCATTCCAATGATTCAAATTGTTATTCAGCGATAGTTACGGTGTTCAAGTTTGTACATGTACACCAAACGTCAACAAATTGGGGTCCAGTTGATATTCTGTCGTTAAACGTCTGTTTGGTGGTTATTCTTCTTGTTTTATCACCAAATAAAATATAACCGCAATATAAGGTGCATTATGGGTAGGGATTGCTGTGAAATATATATATATATATATTTCTTTATTGCGACCAATTCTGATCATATACATATAGTTTAATATAAACGGTTATAAAAGGTTATGAAGAAAAAACATACAAAAATATAACAAAATATACAGTAGTTGTTTAGTGCAGGACGTTTAGAGAATTGAGAAATCTAGTTCTCAGTTGGTACATATGATACACTGTCTTGGCTATAATAATACAATCATCATATTCATTTGGGGCAAAAATAAGTGACAAAAATAAGTGACATCTATCTCAAGTCATGTTCTTATTAAGTTATCAAATGCACATGCGTTTCGATAATTTGAACCAATTAAATTGTTGGATTAAATGGGCATGCGCCAAAGACCGAACCAAAATTTGAACCTCGCGCAGATTGCCCCTAGTGCAAAGTCATTAGAAATATTAAAAATGGGCTATACATCATCATACATCATTCGCAAATGCAATGATTATATTTATGAGTTATGTAATGGGGGGGTGTATAGAGGGTCTTGGAAATGCATATACAATATTTTTCAACTCTCTTATACCATATATTGTATTTTTTCACCCCTTTTATACCATATACAATATTTTTCACAGCTCTTATACCATATACGATATTTTAGGTGAAATACAATATACGATAATTTTGAAACTGCTTTTGATTAAAGTTTGGATATTTATAAGGAAATAATATCATATTATGAGACAATCCATGTACTAAATAAGTAAGTAAATGTATTATTATAAGCCAAATAGACTCCAAATTGAAATTTTGAAATTTTTTAAAAATATTTTTGAAAATAATTTAAAAATGTATATAGAATTTTTTTTTGAAAAAAATTCGAAACCATCGTATATCACTTTTAAAACCATCGAATATCACTTTTCAAACAATCGAATATCACTTTTTAAGACGTGATATTCGATAGTTTAAAAGTGATATTCGATGGTTTGTGAATTTTATACTAAAATATGATATCTTGATCCACATATCAAATATATCTTCATGTGATATTCGATCTATATCCTTGCAACCATGGGATAATATTTTATATTACGGAGAATTAAAGATACATTCATTCGACACATGTGCGACCTTTTTGCGACGTGTCATTGTGTGTTGTACTAATAACGATTAATATCATGAAAATTGACTACTTTAAGCTTACCTCTTTCCCTCGCTAGCCTAGCGATGTACAGTAACACCCTATGCAGACAGAGCCTGTGTGAAATATTGGGTGCGGCGCAAGTGAGCGGAGGGTGCGGAGCTAACGGTCATTTTTGAATTTAAAATTGGAATATTTCTGAAACTAAGCCGTTTTGGGACTTCAAATATTTAGAGGGGGCTCATATCTGAAAAAATTTCCGAATTTTTATAAAATCACACAGATACTGCCTGGCTTCCAAGATGCAAAAATAATTTGAATAGATAGTGCACCTTGAACACCATTTTTTATGAATGCTGGGGACTCAGTATTAAAAGGATAATTTCAAAATACAGTATATCCCGGTATTATTCGCGTGCGATTAACTTTCGCGCTTTTCGCGATGGTGTTAAAATCGCAAAAAATTATCGTCGCGAAATTGCCAATTAAATCCCCGGGAATTTGTTTTTACCCGGGGCTCTGATGCATTTCGTCAACTTCTGATCCCTCCATTCCTACATCTGTAAGAAGAACTACAAAATGCATTTCGTTTTGTGTAAAACGTTTCGTCTAGTGTTATTGGGCGATAATTGGATGATTTCCACCAACATGTCTATTTTACGTTGGCTAGTCAGGCCAACTACTACCAATGGGCTTAGGCTTAATAATGACATCGACGATATTATAGAAACTGAAGTTCAAATTGCTAAAAATAACATGAAGTCCAAGCGTGGAACATATAAAGTGTACAACGACGCAGAAAGGGCAAACATAGCCCGGCACGCACTTCTGAACTTGTGAAATTCGCGAAATTTAATAGCCGCGAAACCGTGTTTTCGCAAAATTCGCGAAATTAAAGCTCGCGAATAATACCGGGCGTACAGTATATAGGTCTTGGAAAGGTTTAAGGCACACTGCGTCGCTAGAATGAATTGCGCTACTATTTTCACAATTGTATTGATATTTGGTTTGGTGTCAAATACACATATTTGTTTAGCAACAAACAACAAGTAACAATACCAAACTTTTTTTGAGAAAATGCATGATTTCCGTATGCTTTAAAATAATTAAAATAACAAGTTATTATGATATTTATATGTTATAATTTAATTGACCTGCCTACCCTTAACACAGGTTACCATGGCAACCTTATCTCATTGATAATTTAAGATATAGCTATAATATTTTAGCATTGTATATGTAATTACATAATCTACATTTTCTGAAAAAATGAGAGGGATATGTGAAAAAATCACAAACTGAGAGCATTTTTATCAGAATATATGGATCGCCCCTTGTATCTTGGTATATTTGAAGTCCCAAAACGGCTTAGTTTCAGAAATATCCCAAATTTAAATTCAAAAATAACCGTTAGCTCCGCACCCTCCGCTCATTTGCTCCGCACCCAATATTTCCCACAGGCTCTGTCTGCATAGGGCGAGTAATAATGAGTGGTTTGCGCGTTGACACCAATTTATCTTCTAGCCCCTTAACGCCTTACATTTAGATTCTTCCGCGGCGTATTAATTCATTTTAGACACAGTGTAGTAAGTGTATTTTAAAAGTACAGTTTTCCATCTCTTTAACCCTAATGTCTCCAGGGGGGATCAATCCCCTCAATTTTATGCCAGGAAAATGTACATTTCATCTCAAAAGGAGAGAAATTTGCACCCCTTATGTCACGCTGACCTCGATTTAACCTTTGTTGACCTTCTTTTTCAAAGAATGTTGTACTTTCTGAACAGTTAATTGAATAAGGTTCACAAAAATACCAACATTAGTGAAATCAGACAAGTAATCAAAAATCGTAGAGGGGAGGGGGTCCAAATGATCCCCACCTCCCTTGCGACAAAGTATAAAGGTTACGGGCATAAGGGTTAAAGATAGATCGTTATATTGGAAAAATCACTTGTTTATTCTTTAGATGAATAAATTGTGAGAATCAAATTGTCAAAATCATCATCCTTGTATTTTGACATGGTGTCATTTATTAAAAAATGTAACATTCTTGGAGTACCTTAAGGCTAGTTTCTGGTAGTGTACGTAACACTTCATGGTCAATGGCACAACATAGGCTTTACATGACGAAAATGTATATACCACGCGTTTGATAGAGCGTACGATGGAAAATATATATACATGAACATCGCATCCCAACAAATCAAACACCCTGTATGTGTCACCCCTCACTGATTTTCTTGATGAAAACATGTCATATTATATACAAGTCGATAGTGAATCTACTAATCTTTAATTTTGTACATCATAAGTTATTCATTATAATGTCCGTCAACAAGTCGATAGGGAATCTGCTAAACTTTAATTTGGTATATCATAATTAAGTTCTTTATTATAATGTCCGTCAACCAGCGTCCATGATATTAATGACGTCATTTTCGTTTCAAAATGGTTTTCCAAAACTTGCGAAAACCAAGTTTCATCCTCAACTTTATTTATATGAACAGACGTTTAATATGTCCACCATTTTGATCAATCGTAGCCCTCAAATTTTGGCCTTAACTGGTCAAAAGCATCATTGATATGCTCTTGAGACAATGAATTCCACTTCTCAACAAGTTCTTAATCCTTTATCCTTAATAAGGGACTGCTTAGATGTAAGGGGTTCATGGTACACCAATGGCCAAAAATAGAAAAAAGTAGTTTTAAAAATGAATGTAGTCCCAACACAATTGTGATCATGACGAGTCAGTAAGCTAGTAGGTACAGTTGTCATCGTTTTGCTATGACAACATGTCATTTCTTCTGAAAATGCGTTTATTTGGGTTATCTGAAGGAAAATTTCGAGTCAAGTGGCGTATTAATTTTGCCTTCATTTTTGTGAATTTCAATTTCTGTCGGCAGGGAGAGGGGGTAGTGTCACAATTGACCAATTATTTCAATAAGTAGATGTTTGGGCCCTATTGAGTTTAGTGTCAAAATGTAGCTTAGACATAGCTTTAGCACCTCAGATAGGCCAGTGAGGGCACATAAATCCATTACTCGAGATAAAAAGTCAGGCGTTTGCCCTTTTGCCCATTGACTAGTATGGTGACGTGAATTAGGGCTGTTTTGCCTATTAGTCACATGTGAAAGTGACCCAAAATTTTTAGAACTACCCAGAATCGCCCAGAATTTAAGTTTATTAGTGTGAAACATATTCTAGGCGGAGACAAAAGGGAAATTTTTATGAACAAATTTAATGTTTTTGCTGAATCAGCAGTTTTCGCTTTTTACCCCAAAAACATTGATTTTGACGATATTTGGCTACAATTTCGTCCTTATTGACCCCTAGATGTCATATGTTGTCGTAAATGGGGAAACCAATGAGTTGCTGCTCGTAATTAAGATTGGGTTTTCCATCTTATGGTCTCCAGTAAAGAATGAACGTCCATATCAGGGGTACAGTCAGAGTTTGGTCAGTTAAGTGTCAATTTTTGATGATATATTTGTCCACTCTGAATGACTAAATTCGAGCTAAAACTATTTCAAAAGTCCCAAATTCTCTAGGCCAGAGTCAAAACTGATCTTTGTCATCATTTTTCAAATCAGGAGGTTGTTGAATGGAATAAAATA